GACTTCAGACTCGACTCGGACTCGAGGTGCGGGACTCGTGAACAATGTTTATTTATTAGGAAACGTCTGATGAGCTTGCCGTTATTGCCCTCCCTCCGTTACCTATAACCTAACACATAACATCTGCTGCACGCGGACGCACACGAGAGAGGACAACAAACCCAGGCAGCGGCTGTGCCATTCATCATAAACTTTGGCTTTAAAACTTCATACAACAACACCCAAACAAAGAAGCGCTGAACGCGAACATGGTGGGTAAACATCTTTAGCTCAGTGTTGACCATCTAACGTTAGCTTGCTTCTTGCTTCAGCTACGACCTACGAGAGGTTTACTCCGACTGTCGTTTGTTATGAAAAGATGAATGAGCGTTTGTTTACTTGCAAAACTTGTGGTGGTCAATTAACGTAATTATTACTTCCCACTAGCTGCCATCACCTTAATTAATTATTGCCGTTGGCTAGAAAGAGGTTACAGGTTTATTGTTGATCATGTAACCTTACAGTTTTATTTAGTTATAACGTTACACTGGTTTGAGAGTGTGCAGGATGTGTTGACTTACAGTAGTTTACGCTGCCATTGGTTGCATTGCACATTATGGTTGTGCTCTGTAAGTTAAAAACAGGTTATAGCTTTATTGTTGACCTTGTAACTTAACAGTTTTATTTAGTTAACTTTACACTGGGTTTGAGAGTCAACAGGGTTTGTTGACTTACAGTAGTTTATAAGCTTATAATAAGTCATTAATTGTAGATGCATTGTACATTAGGCTACATGTTTGTGCTCTGTAAGTTAAAAACAGATTACAGGCTTATTGTTGATTATGCAACGTCACAGTTTTATTTTGTTAACGTTACACGTCACAATTGAGGGCTGCTCGGAGTTGAAGCAGTCAATGCAAACCCATGATTGGTCAGTCAAACCCACCAATAGAATCTCTTATTTTGACCATTTTTGGAGTAGTATGTAGCTGCAGAACCGAAGGCTGAATTTTCAGGATCGCAATCTTAGGACCGGAATTGCATTTCTAGGACTACTTTGATACTGCCAGCTAGCTGGCTAGCAAGCTAGCTAGCTATGTTACTCTTGACAGCTCCCCGAAGCCACTTACCCTTACCACAACCATCACAGAATGTGTGCCTAAACTTAAGTTATTGATTATGTGCATGTCGACCAGTTAACCCTAAAGCTGTGCTAGCAGCCAGGGTTAACCTCCTTCGTGTTGCTGCACATTACAAACTTTATTTGTCATTGCAGTGCGATAAATATGCTCTTTTTGTTGCTTGCATTAAAAAGACACAAAAATACCTCAAGTGACTTGAAAATCATGTGTAGTACAATGACAATTCCACGAGAGAGCAGCACTGGATTACAACTGAACACTACACATGGGAATATGACAAAAAAATACCCTTTGTTGTAGTTCTGAGTCTGTGATAATTGTGTTTTGATAGATAGCTTGTGTCATATAACGTATGAAATTTAAGTAGTCTACTCAAATAATGAAATTTCACCAGAACGTATCTCAGCAGTTATTGAACACAATGGAATCGATGTTTATAATTTTGTTATTGTTTTAAGACACAGAGAGCTTCTCCTCAGTGTTCTGGGACGACTCGACTCAGGAGAGGAGGCTGCTAGTGTGTCGATCTTCCTCAGATTGGATGAAACTGGTTTCACTTCCCTCTCTGAACTCAGTAACCATGGCAACCGATAGGCATCACTGCTGAACCATGACAACAGATGGTTTTCAGGACTAAAGATAAAAAGTAGTAACAGGCACAGTTTTCCTCTTATGTATTTTCTTTATTCTTTAAATATTTCACATATAGTGAAGACTGTAAATATTTCCTGTCTCAAGCAAAAACCTCCTACATGAAGATGGTATGTTTGTCCATTTCATGTACCTAAGAATCAACAATGAAATATTCAAATGACAATGTTAACTACTGAACTACTTTTTCTGTCACGATTGTGGTGTGGAGGCAGGTTGGAGGACCCAAACGCAGGATACAGAGCGGAGCAGGTATAGTTCAACGAAAGGTTTTAATATAACCAAAAGCGAGCACACTTACAGGTGAGTGGCTGAATAACAGAAATCCAAAAGTACAGGGAGACGAGACAAGCAAGGCTGGTTACAGGCAGGCAGAGAGTAAACACACAACAGACTGGGGGGTAACATCAACAATGACCAGACAAAGACAAGACAGAAACACCAGGTATATATACACAGGGACTAACGAGCAGGGCGGGAGCAACATAGGTGAAAGACATGAGGCTAACGAGGCACAGGTAGGGACAGAGAGAGAGAGAGAGAGAGAGAGAGAGAGAGAGAGAGAGAGAGAGAGCGCAGGGGAAAACAGAGACAGACATGCAGAGGGATCACTGGGGTAACAGACATGACAAGGGTTACCGAACACTAGACGAAAGACAAGACAGACCCCCAAAACCCAACAGACCAAAATAACACTAACTAAACACAAAAGTGCAACACCAAGGATGGCCAACCGGCAGAGCGTGACATTTTCAAACAAACTGATAAAACAAAAAACAAAAAACAACATGTCCCTGTGAACACATCACATTTTAAATATCAGACACAAAATGTGAGTATTGATCCATTGCTAGACAGAATCATCAGAGTAATCCAAGTCCCTGCTGGAGTCAGTCAGAGCATTTCCATAGAGAGCCACTTTGCATCAGCAGCACCATGCTCCAGTGCTCTGGGAGAGTTTATAGTCCTGAGAGTTGAACACTGGATGACTGACAGCTGTCCTTCATGACAACAGAAGCCACAGAAATCCTCCTCATCAAAAACATGACTTTGATCTGCGTCCTCATCTGGACTCTCCTCTGCTGCTGCTTCACAGGTAAAGTCCAGAGAATCAAACTCCTCTCCTCTATGAACATCCGTCCCTCTGAAATGAAGCCCACAAAACCATGACGCTGCTTTATGTTTTTGTCTCTGTATCCTCAGAGTCCAGAGGCCAGGTCACAGTGACTCAGCCTGGAGCAGTGAGCTCTGCTCTGGGAGGCTCCGTCTCCATCAGATGTAGGACCAGTCAGGATGTTTATGTTTGGAGCAACTACCACTATTTACACTGGTACCAACAGAGAGATGGAGAAAGTCCTAAACTCCTCATTTATCGTGCTAGCACTCGAGCATCAGGGATTCCAGATCGTTTTACAGGCAGTGGATCAAACTCTGACTTCACTCTGACCATCAGTGGAGTCCAGACTGAAGATGCAGCAGTTTACTACTGTCAGAGTTTTCACTCTATCAACAGTCAAGCTGTGTTCACACAGTGAAAAAGCGTCGTACAAAAACCTCCCTCAGTCAGACAGAACAGAAACTGAAGTGACTGCTGCAGCTGGAAGCTACTGCAGAGACTGATACACTTCACTGAGGACACACACACACACACACACACACATACAGTACGCACACATTTTCTTCAAATAGATTGAACATTTCAACATGTTTGAACTAACCACCTATGAACATGTATCACTACAATGATTAAAAATATCTTAGTGAAAATCAAATAAATTTCTCCATCACAGCTTCTCACCATTCATCCATATCTCATTATAATCCTATTGTCTTGTCTGGTTTGACAATTAATAAAAAAGAGCCAAACTGGGACAGTTAACGAGAAAGGTATTGGTTATGACCTTTGACCTCAGCCTCTCACTGGATCACAGGTTTTTCAACTATTTCAAGTGAAAATAAAATATGGACACACATCAGCACCAGAAACCTTCATAACCAAAGATGGCAGAGCAGGACAGAGAGGGCAGATGTGAAGAACAACATGTAGCACAGACTTACTGCTTCTGTTAAAATGGACTCCTTTCACACCACTACCTGCTTTAGGATAACAGATAAACACTGTCTGGTTGTACTGACAAAACTATCAGATGTGTTCTGTACATGGTCCTTAATGCCTTTTTTTATTATCCCCTGATCTTATAAAATACTAGTTATCTGACCCTGTGGTAAACCCGGTCTCTAATGGAATGTGATTATTAAAAACAAAGACAGTAGTTATTCCTGTAATTGGACACCACTGATGAGATGAATAGGTCTTTATTTACATACACAGACTGAGTTGTCATCCCTTTTATTGGGCCTGTTATTTAAAACATTCCTGGGGTTAAAATCTCACAGTCATGTTGTATCACTTTATGCTGATTATATCCTGCTCTTTATTTCTGTTGCTAAAAATAAAATTCCTGATATTCTTATATTTATTCAGAGAAATAAAACTTACCATCATTTCTGGCTACAAATTAGGTCTAAACAACATATAAATCTTCATTAAGAGGAATCTCCTGTGATACGAGATAAATGGCGGTTTTATATTAACATGCTTTATAGTTAGTGGTACCCCAGTAATTAAAGTATGAACAAGTGACATTAAAAAAAGACATTCTTGCTATTATTGTGTCTTCATACCTTATTCAAATGACTGGTCCTATTATTAGATGTATGGCAACAAAAAGAAAATCATGACATGTCAATTTTATAAATATAATCCACAAGGAAAGCAGTATTTGATGAGATTTTTTATTGTGTTGAACTATTAAAACCACCAATAATACAACAGGCAAGAACACTTAATGTTAAAACGTGTAAAGGGAAAAAGACAGAACCAGAGAGAGACAGAGAGCAAATGTGAAGTTTTCATGAATTTGGATAAAACTTTTTGGCCTTATTGATCAACAATAAAGAGCATAACAACATGCAGTAAATATTCAATAAATTACAAATGAGAGTTAAAGATTGCCAGATATTGAGTGTCGCGCTGATCTGGCAGAGGTGCGCCTGTCTCCCGTGTGCCCGCCTCCTCCTGCATGCCGTCTCACCTGCGTGCCGCCCCGCTCTGCATCGGCAGCCGCGTGTGACCGTGCGTGCGCGCCCTGGCGCACCCTCGACCAGGTGAATTAGATTGAGCAATCAGAAGCTCGCACACACTTCAATCAGCGGGACCATATAACGCAGTCATTTGGCTGGTGGAAAGGGACTGACACGACGGAATGAGCAGCACACATCCACTGCGGGGAATGAGACTTTTGATTTGACGGGCTATCGGTAAGCTCACTTGAACGTTGTTTAAATCTTTTTCTGTTTAGGTGTTAATATGGGTGTGTTAAAGTTGTCACTGCATGGTTGAAGAGAGGGAGAAACTATGTTCAAATGCATGGATACATATGGTTAAAATGTGTGGGTTTTCTACCTAATTTGTGTAAAAGAATGCTTAAATAGTAAGCCAAAATTGGTTTGTTAAAGATTAATTAAAATGCATAATTAGTTTGGTGAAATGTGAAGAATAATATTGAATTTAAATATACTTACCGTTTTTGAAATATTTACCTTGACTTGTGTTTACTGTGGAAATACCTGTTTATTCAAAATGCTTTTTATTTCTGTGTTTAAAGGTTTTTCACCTATACTGTTCAACTCCTGTTCAATTATTCAAATAAATTATTCTGAGTGAAATCCGAAGTCTGGTCCTTGTCAAGTGTGGACACCTCGCAGTTAAAAAACACTTGACATTGAGACATATGTGAAAGAAGCGTTTCTCTTCTCATCTGCTGAGCTCAGTAACCTTGGCATAAGGCAGGCATCACTGCTGAACCATGGCAACAAACAGGTTTCACTACAAATTTAAAGAAGTTAAAATGACATTTTGTTTCTATGATGCATTCATGTTTAAAGGTTCAGTGTATAAGTTTTAGTTGCATTTCGTGGTGAGGGTGGCAGTTTGCAACCAACGGCTCACTGTGCATTCACGTGCTCCTCGGATGGTCCCATTTCCCGAGTTGTGAAGTCGTTCTTCCGACTTCTGGTGTGTTCATGCGCTCTTTTGTCGGAATGTGGAATCAACATGGACGCTACTACAAAGATGTGTTAGATTAGCATTATCAGAGCAATTTAATTTCTAAATCCAACAACAAAAAGGCTGTGAAAACTTTCAACACATGGTCCTCTTTTAATGTTTATATATGATACAGACTACCCCTGGCAAAGTGTTTTTTGTGTCTTCTTATATTTGCTGTTTTCTATACTTTTTTATGTCCCATTTACACTTCACTCTTCTTTTTTTCAATAAAGGAAATTGAAAATAAATCCAATTATTCCAACACCACATGAATGCACCATCAGTCACCGCTCAGCCCTTCTTTTCCAAGCATGCAGGAGAAGCTACGGTGGCCGACATGTTAGGTCGGCTCTTGGGTTAAATAATATGTGTGGTCCTCCATTTGTCAGAATTTCGCTTCTCTTCTAATAAACCCTACTACTGCTAAAACTACTACTATCATTACTTTTTCTTCTGCTTGTTTTTCAGACTTATTCAATGTAGTGACGAAACACAGTCTGTAGAGCAGTTTCTCCGTTTGGGCTACTGTAAAAACATGACGACTTCCACGTAAGAGGACCCTCAGTGTAGATAGATAGAAATGGCTCATTCTAAGGTGATAAAAACATAACGGTTCATCATGTAAGTTCTTTATACACTACTGAAAACATAGTTATGGATATTATATTGCATTTCTGTCAAAAGATCCTCCTAAATATTGTACACTGAACCTTTAATAAGCAAATGACAAACATGTAAGGTTGAAAAAATACATTTTACAATAATCTTCACATAGATCAATTAAAACATGAAAATTACTTTTTTTTTGTCAGACCGAAAACATATCTTGAAACTGCTGAAATTTAATTCTTGTGATACAAAACTGGTTAACTGAAGAAGATTTTAATCTGTTGGAGGACATAATGTAGCGCATTCAAGAATCATTGCAACAGCAAAAATACAGCAATGTCTACAGTTATGAAATTTAACTTTGGTTATTAAAAGAGTCAAATTTACTTACAGTTAACATCCAGTCTGGGTTCACTGACAGCAAATGAAGTGTTGCAAATGAAGCATTAAAATTCACACATCAGTATCAAGGTGTTTCCACAGCACAGCAGGTGACTGACAGTTCTTTGTAACCTCTACCTGTTCTGGTACTGACACAGCATTAGAATTGGAATGTGCAATAACTCCATTAGAAAAAACAGAAGCAGTCATCTTACAAATTTTTATACAGAGCAGTAACAATAGTGCTAAAAAATAATTTGTACTGGTAGAAGTTGGTTTGTTATGTATATGATGACTATATTTCACATACAAGTCCCTGCTAGAGTCAGTCAGAGCATTTCCATAGAGAGCCACTTTGCATCAGCAGCACCATGCTCCAGTGCTCTGGGAGAGTTTATAGTCCTGAGAGTTGAACACTGGATGACTGACAGCTGTCCTTCATGACAACAGAAGCCACAGAAATCCTCCTCATCAAAAACATGACTTTGACCTGCGTCCTCATCTGGACTCTCCTCTGCTGCTGCTTCACAGGTAAAGTCCAGAGAATCAAACTCCTCTATGAACATCCGTCCCTCTGAAATGAAGCCCACAAAACCATGACGCTGCTTTATGTTTTTGTCTCTGTATCCTCAGAGTCCAGAGGCCAGGTCACAGTGACTCAGCCTGGAGCAGTGAGCTCTGCTCTGGGAGCCTCCGTCTCCATCAGATGTAGGACCAGTCAGAATGTTTATTATAGCAGCCCATACCACTATTTACATTGGTACCAACAGAGAGATGGAGAAACACCTAAACTGCTTGTTAAACTTGCAAATCAGCTACTATCAGGGATTCCAGATTGTTTTACAGGCAGTGGATCAAACTCTGACTTCACTCTGACCATCAGTGGAGTCCAGACTGAAGATGCAGCAGTTTACTACTGTCAGAGTCAACACTATATCAACAGTCAGTATGTGTTCACACAGTGAAAAAGCGTCGTACAAAAACCTCCCTCAGTCAGACTGAACAGAAACTGAACTGAGTGCTGCAGCTGGAAGCTACTGCAGAGACTGATACACTTCACTGAGGACACACACACACACACACACTGTGCTCCCAGCCGTTAAGAGGCCAGTGTTGATCAGTGGCTGTCCAGGCCTTTCAGACAAAAATGGACATTGGTGCACAGAGATTGTCTGGACAGATACAAAACAGATCCAAATGGACTGAGCTGGAGGGGGCGGGACGGACGCTAGTGACAGGAAACAACTGGGACACACACACAGTGGGTGAGTCACAATTTCTCACAGAAAAATAAAAACTTAAGCACATTGAAGGTAAAAAAAAACAAAGTAATAATATATTAATTTATTAGTAAATGCTGATGAGCTTGAACAGCCTACATTGGTGATGAATGATAACCACAAAGAGTTTAGGAAACTGCCACTGGTTCGTGAAAGGTTTCACAACACACCCTCACAACTTTTGTCAAACATGCTCAATCTGCCTAAGACACAACACAGGGAGGGGATTACAGGTTTCATTAGCAGCACATCCACCACCAGATGAACCGTTTAACCACCTTATGAGGGAGGTTTTTAACTAAACCCAAGCAAAGGCAAAAAAGTACTGTTGATGATAGTTGATATGTTTCCAAAATGGATAGAAGTTTTTCCCTCTCCAGCAACAAAGCCGATGCAGTCTCCCGCCAGGAGGTTTTGTGGTGGTTGTGGAGGCTGAAAGAGCTACATGGATACATACCAGCCACTGCAGGAAGGTGCCTGCACCAGAACAGTTACAGATCAACAAGCGTGCACAATCAGCAACTGCACCACTGTTTTCCCTGACCTTGTGTTGTGAGTGAAGGAGGGATTGGGAACGCTTAGGCACCCTTTGTCTCGGACTCAAAGGCTGTTAGACAGCAAACATCAACACAAGGGAGCTAGTGGAAAAACTCCTGGTCTCACCACTGCTGACTTAAGAGTGAGTAGCATGTTTGTCTCTGGAAGGAGACATCCATGGGACCCAGTCAGGCACCCAGACATGTGGGCCTACGAGGAACAACACAGATGTTTGCTGCCATTGCAATAGCATTAACAGTGCCTCTGTTGCAGTTCTTAGATCACAAGCATGATGCACAAAAGCCACCACAACAGAACACCACAGTGAACTACACACAGGCATTGACATCACATAGCAGTGTTAGAGGCAAGAGAAGCACCCAAAGAGGCTGGGATGCTTGGATAATTTTAATAACTCCTCTTGTACGTTTGTGCCCAACAATACAGCTCCAGATGGTTCGGTGACCCCAGTGCTGGAAGGAATGCGTTCGCTACGAGAAGAACTTGCAGAGAACTCTGAAGTGGACACTAATATGTTTGACTGGTCTGATTCTGTATTTGCTAAATAAAAAGCCTTAGTGATGCCCATACTAGCAGGCCTAATGATTGCTGTAGCGCTGTTACCTCTCTGTGGATGTTGCATTATTCCATGTGCCAGAGGTTTGACTGTAAGAGCTATTGATAAATGTGTGTCTATTCAAATGATCACACTCCATGAACAAGTGAACATGCCATTGTTGCAGCAGCAGAACTGTGATGAAAGGAAGGACCCAGATTCGTTTTCTTGGTTAAACTGGTGTAGATTACATCATGATGCCTTTCTATGACCTGATGATCTTTTTGTAATGCTGTATATTCTTGAGTGATCAAAGAATGCTCACAAGGGAGGAGTATGTGATGGAAATTTGATATTTGTGTTTACTGTTTCACCCTGCATGCTTCATCAGAATAGACCAATGTGTCACTGTGTGGTATATGCAACACTGACATAAAATCTTTGGTTTGAAAATCTGAGATAAGAACCATCTCATGTTGAAAGTACTTTAATTTCATTTTTAATCCTTGAAACGTATTGAGTAATGTAGATTTGTACAAACTACATTTAAATGAATTCATGAAAACACCCGCTTTCATTCTTTCATTCACACCTTGTTTATACCTGCATTTAGAAAGTTCTCTTAATGCAGCTATAAAGAGAAACTTTACAGTGTCTCTGCTAAACAGAGACTCTGTAAGGTGAGACTCAAGGAGAAGAAGAAATTACCTCAGATATAATCCTGCACTGATAAAATGAAGGAAAATGTATCTTTGTTGGTAAAAAATAAAACTATCATGAAATATTATTTAATTTGAAATAACTTTTTTATTTTCTTACAGTGTTTACAGCATGAGCATTATTACATCAATGAAGCTTCACTACTTAAAGTTGAATATTGTTAATATGATCTGATGACAGAGTAACAGAGTACAGTCACTATAACAGAAATGAAAACAACAAATTTGAATGAACTGGTCTTTATTGTGTTGAAATAATCCAAATTAAATCCAGTAAACAAACTTTAACCATGAAACATGTGATTAGAGAATGACTTAAGGAAAGAAAGAGACACAGACACAGAGAGAGTTACAGAGTTCAGAGAGCAGAGTAAAACCAGTAGCAGAGTCCCAGTGATTCAGGTCAGGACTGGGAACACTGGTCTCTCCTCAGCGTCTCTGAGACCAGAGCCTGGGAGCCCTGGGTGGCCTCACAGGTCACAGAGCCCACCTTCCTCCACTGGTCTGCAGGGAGCCTCAGGGTGCTGCTCCAGCTGTAGCGGCCGTCCTTCTCCAGCACCCCGGGGCTCCTGCTCTCCTCCCAGCTGCTGCTGCTGCTGCTGCCGTCCACCTTCCAGGCCAGACTCCAGTCTGAGGGGAAGCCCTTGTTGGCCAGGCACATGAGCGTGGCCTTCCCCTGCTGCAGCTCCTCACTGGAGGGGGGCAGCACCGTCAGGGTGGGACGGACATCACCTAGGAGACACCAATCAGCTTAGAGGACACCTTTACTGTGTGAGAGCTGATTTTCTCCTTTAAGGAGTTTCTGTCAGATGGTTTTTCTGCTCCACCAGTCACTCACTCACACATTGTTTCACTTCCCTTTAAGAAGCCTCTCATGCAAATCAGCACAGAGAGAATCATCATACAGAACGACCTGAAATATATTAAACTACAGTGGAAATAAAATAACAAACTATCTTATCAAGATCATCAAGAAACTTGACAATACAATAGATTATTTTGTGGAAAACAAAACAGAAATGATCTAACAACAATCAGATGTTCTTCATCGTGATTTCAAAGTGTTTCTTCACTTACATTAACAGCTATAATGATGAGTTGAACCACTAGATACAGTTTAAACGTCGTTAATTTTCAAGTGCAAATTCAGTCACACAGGTATCACTGCTCAGCTGTATCACTTCACTTACTGACAGATACACTGACCACTGTGTTGAAAGTAGTGCCAGTTGTCCTTTCACTATTAATATGGAAATATTGTATTCTTTTTTCAAATTCATAACAATAGGCAACATTTTTAAAACACTCATATTTGTCTTTACTTCAGTTTTACATGAAAGTGAATTGTAT